AGACTCAACTGCTTGAAAAATCGAGAAAAAAATTTAACTCCGTCCAAAATGACCCTGCAAAAATCCCAACTGGCTCACCTATATGTTTTCCACATCAAACATTCATATATGCATTATATGAATTTCTTCCTCGTTAAGAAATAGAGAAAACGGAAATTTTTACGCTTTTCCCAAATGTTGCTGTGCCATTCCCACATAGACAGTTGTATACCGCTAACCTGTAAAAGTATAAATGTGGGTTTCCAGCTCTCCACAAGCTCTCGTTTTCGCGAAATATCGGATATAATTTTCTCATCATTTATCTCACGCAAAAATCCATATTTCTCGAAAAGGAGAGCTTGTGGAGAGCTGAAAATTCAGATCTTTACTTCTATGGATTAGTAGTATACAACTGCCTAGGTGGAAACAGCACAACAACACCTTGAAAAGGGAGGAAAATCTTTGTTTGAAAAAATATTTGCACTGCATTATACATTAACCATATTTCTAACTAACTTAGGAAAAACTATGACAGCGGCGTATATAGTGTCTTGTGTGAATAGTGTGTAAGGGAGCAATTTGGAATTTTTGTAGGGCTTTTCAAATCGAGTTATGATTTTTCTTGATTTTCAGCATGAATCTTTTGGGTCTTTCGGCTTGCACCTCGACGTGGATCAGAGTTGACCCAAAAACTGACATTGCCATTTTATAAAGCTTGCTTCGCTCTATCGATTATTACTTCGCTACCTATTCAGATGAGAAGTGTAGGACTTAACTGCGATTAAAATAGAAAACGGACGGAATTTATGAGACAACCTGATATATGCATTAAGTTAATGTATTGATGAAACAAAAAGGTCTAGTCGTTGGCACACAATCAAATCAAAATCCCAATCTGTTGAACTGAAGTAAAATAATGAGGATATGAGAATCCATCACATATCTGCAAGTATTAGTTGTCGAAGTCATACATAAGAAGTGAGAAGTGGAAGATACGATTGAATGCCGCGTTCGTACACGATTGTATAACCAGTCTTCTACTTGATAGAGTCACTTGAATTCAAGTGGCCGATAGAGAATAGTGAATAGACAGACCAGTTGCTGTCATCGATAATTTTCTTGTACTTGGCCCAGCATGGAAAATTACTGTGGACTTGGTTTTCATACTCTAAATTTAGGATTCCAACATATGCAGCTTAAAATAATTCGTGTTGGTGAACACTTTTCAGATCGTTGAGATATGGTCCAGAGAATGGGGTATTCCTGTAAATGCCTCCAAGACTACGGTAATGCACCTTGGGAATTTCCAGTGTTGTACGTACAACTACAATGGTATCAATCTGGAAATCTATTCAGTTCGCGATCTTGGCGTTATGATAAATAATTCTCTTTCTTTTGATACTCATATAAATACTGTCATCAAAAAGTCGTCCTCAACACTTTTTCAATTTTCTGAAATATACATAGTAACGATCCGGCAATTTTCTTGCGACTGTACAAAAGTTACGTGCTACCTCATCTCGAGTATGCATCGCCCATTTGGAGTCCATTTTCGAAAAGAAACATCGATAAAGTTGAAAAAATTCAAAAGACTTTCACGAGGGTTCTTTTTTATCGATGCTTTCCCAATCCAGGATATCCTCATGCCTTACCCTCTTATCGTACCCGTCCCGATATGCTACACCTTCATAGTCTGAAGTATAGGAGTGTTGTTAACGTACATGTACTATGCTTTCGGATTCTGAATTTAGAAACTAACCTAAAAGCCAGTAAATACTGGATTTTAGACCGTGCAGTGACAGAAGAGGTATGCTAGGTAACAGAACAGGTAATTTGCAATATCGCAAATTAGGAAGAAAACATCTTTTGATGACTTTGAATTCCTTCACTTATCGAACATCTAGATGTTTTGCTGCATTAATAAATCATATCATATCAAGCGAAAACTCAAAAATTTTTCGTAAAAAATTGCAAGATGTGAATGTGCTTCAGCTTCTTGATATTTCTGATTTTTAGATGAGTCTTGTTCAATATGGTGCTCGCGTTCTTCGCACTGCCTCAGTTCCTCTTTCTATCATTTGATGCTATGCTTTCTGGTTCGCTTCGCTTGGATAGTCCACAACAAGGATAGAGAATGAGTGCTATTTGCTTGTTCGTTTTGTTACTAACCATAGTGCTTCCACTAACGATCAGACCAACCAGCCTCATTCATCACTTGAGTTCACATCATATCCCTTCACCGTGGCCCAGCCCCATCCCCACCTTTGTCGGATATCAGTAGCGCGTAGTTGGCAGATGTTCATCCCTACAACTTCCAACGAATCTTGCTCTCTTCTAAAACAACTATTCAGCCGGGTTCAGCTAGCTTTTACCAGGGGCTCGCTGACACCCAAAAACAGGGTCTTCATTAACTTTAGAAGAAGCAAGATTCTATAGACTATTCTGGACATAGCGCTTTTTCCTTTGCTAGGCTGCAAATAATGGCTATAGCGTCATTATAAGGCTTCGGTTTGTTTTGTTTGGCCTTGTTTTCCATTTATTTAACTCTTCTTCCTTCTGTGACTGAGGATTGGTTGATCTTTTGTCTTATTTCTGTGTTGCCTGATTTTCTGTTCGTTTTAGGGTTCTTTTAATGGTGCATCACTAGTGTATGCATAAAATAAAATAGAATAAAAAATAAAATTTAGGAAAAATCTTGGCTCATGGCAGTAACTTGCGACAGACTGTTCAATCTTTACGAATCTAGGAAACAATTGATGATTGGATGATTTCCAGTATTGACAGGAAGTAGAAATCACTTATTTCTGAACAAGCAACTTGTGATTTGCATTCTGATTTTGCTAGTCTCAGAGACAGAAACCTTATTGACGAGGAGATTTTGTTTCGGTGAGTTTGAATCTATGGGAAAACTTAGTTTTGATCCTGGTGTGGAGCAATGTTTTGTGCGCACTTCTGACATTTTTAGCCTTCATTTATTCTCAAAAGATCCTCAAAGGTGGACATTTAGGTAGCACTATCTAAGATATACTGTTCTTCATTTAGAACTACTGGGCTAGTATTAGATTGTCCCGAAAGTAAAATGCATTTTCAAATAAACTCAGCTGTTTTTGTTTTTCTAATAGACTTAGGGTACCATTCGATAGAGCGGAGCAAGCTCTACAAGAACACAACCAAAGACCCCTCTAATTAAAGGATACTTGGTCGAAGTGGCATTTCCATATGAAATACAAATTATATTATAGAGCATAAAACGATGGCTCCACATCTGCTTTCCTTATTTTGCAAGCGCTTTTGGTAGGAGAGTTTTGAGCTTTGAAAAGAATAGAACCGATAGTACTGACTGCTCCGATTTTTACTGCAGGTTTCCGAATTTTTATGACCCTACACAGAAAATTCAAATTTTGACCAATTTTCTTCTATCGCTCCTATTTATGCAACAGATGACCATTAGTAAGCAGCTAAGGCATCTTTATATAGAGCATGACTTACTCTTTATACAAAAATAAAGACAGTCAAATCGGTTGGAAAAATCAGAAGTTACGATTTTTTGAAAATGGGGCGAACGAACTTTCGGGACGATATGAAATAAAATTACATTGAGACATAAACGTTTTTTTTCTCTATATACAAATCATGAAATTAGTTTTTGGTTGATGATTTGAAGAGTTAGCAAACTTTATCTGATTTCCATTGTAATTCTCGCATCGACACGATATTCAGAAACATTTGAATCTATTAGCGAATACTTTGGTGATTTATCCTTCTTCCATCATTTCTATAGCGTTTGCATGAGTTGAGAAAGAAATACTCATTCCATACTTTATAAAAGACATAAAGTTTTTTCCACTCAATCGTTACCTTGAAATAGGCTAAGGAACACATTCTCAAAAAATCGCAATTCAAATGTGCAAAAAGTTCAAAAATGGGCTTAGTTCCAGCTCACCTTGCTGCTGGGAGTAAAATGGACTTTGCGCATGATTCTTTCGCAAGTGAGAGCTCAGGTAGGGTTGAATTATTTTCATCGCACTGCTTTGCCTCATGGTTGCGATGAGATAAAATTCTTGGATAACTTTAGCGAAAGCGGATTCCGACCAGTTTCTACCGCGAATAAATAAAATGTTGGAAAGCATTTTCCTCCATTATGGAATTTCTTGGATATGAGATGGGGCCATGACCAATGCCACGGCTGTTAGTTTTGCGATCACTACTATGTGCCTACTGTATAGTGACCAAGTTGGAGGTCCGTAGAATTTTTCCTCCAAAAATCCAATTTTTAGGTGACAACATTTTTCGATTTTGGCTTCAAAGTTCACATGGAATGCGACTTAGGTGTGTTCTTGGTATTCATTCTGTATAGCTTGATCTGCTCTATCTAATGACTCCCCAAGTCTACTAGGAAAACAAAAACAGCTTGAATTATCCATGAAAAGGTGCTTACTTTTGCGACAATCTAATATTTTATATTTTAATCTATTTTGATTATTAGAAACTGAGTCTGGTCAGATTATCAAGTTTATTGTGAAAGAAAAGTATTGATAGTGTCAATAGTAGGAGTTCTCTCAGTGAAATAATGCAACATTTCAAATAAAGTTGTTTCTATGTATTTCTATGTCTGTAAATTTCCATGCGCTCTGTACGAAGCAATGGCTGTTTTTGCTTTGTTATCGAAGACAAAAGGGAAAGAATTCTCTCAATATTTCCATTCCAACAAATTCTAGGCAGCAAACTGCTCCAGAGCGTTTTAGTTCTTTATCGTGTAGACCAAGGATCAGAGCATTCCTGCTCTGTTGCACATGTTTGCAAATAGTACAGATGAATGTACTTGGTGTTTGCGACTATTTTTCCTCGCTAATCTCGTGCATTTCTTTCAAAATTTTTCAACCTTATGACAGAGATGCATGTCTATGCTAGAGCCGATCAGCCACTATAATAGATCATTAAGTGGAAGCAGATGGCCAGAAAACAGGTGACCACAGCGATTGACTGCCGTTATGTTTGTTTCAAATGACGTTTATAGCAGCAGATGTGCTCGCAAGGAAATTCGAAAAGTTTATTTTATCAAATGCGGCAAACACGTGACGAGTTTTACACGTATCAGAATTATAGCAGGTATGTGAATACATTGTTAATTAGAGAGTGAACACATCATCTTCATCGCTTTCGCTGTTGTCCTGAAAGAAAAGATATCACGCTTAATTTATGAAAAATATTTATTGTATCTGCTCACCAGGTACTGGTACAACCTGCGAACAGGGGTACCTACAGGGTAGCCATCTTCAGATTTTGCCTGAGCAAAGCCAACACGAGCCTGACCAACGTCAAAGACAGTGTAATATCTGAAAAAATTGGATTAGAAACGAAATATATACTATATATCTTATAAGCAGTTTTAGTACGTACTTTCCAATGAATACATCTCCGAGGATCCAGAGTTCTCCGAGTTTTTCCGGGAGATCCATTCCCATGAAGCCAGACAAACAGATGGATTTGCCTCCGGCTTTGACCTAAACGGTTAACATTTCATAAGATTCGAGTTTTCGTATTATTTGTATAATCGTATAAAAGACAATGCTAATATGCTTTGACTATAAGCCATCTAATTTGATGCCTCATACAGTGCTCCTGCGGTGCCAACAACACTTGTGCGTGAACAAATCTCCATGCTCGCGCTGCCGACAACTTGCGCGTTCGAAAATCAACAAAGCGCATTACCAAGTTCCATGCCATATGGTCTTGCCCACGCATAAGTGTTGTGGGCACCGCAATAACCCCATATGGACTTTGATTGTACTTACCTAAATGCACTAATATTCTATCCAGTAATGCATAAGTTGCCACTAATCTTTAAGGTGTATAAATTCATCTTGAAACTACTAAATTCTAGTCTCTGACAAATTTATTAATTTTTCAATTGCCGTAATACAGTTTTTATTTCCATTATAATCAATAAATGATTACTCACGGTCAAGACGTAGTCCTCGCCCTTCATTGTGAAAGTTTTTCCCTCGATGACGAAAGCCAACTCAGGCAGCGATGGAACTTTGTCGCATGGGATCATGTACTAGAGTAATTTTTTTGCGAAAGCCCATAAATTCTCAAATATGACCGAACCTCTCCCTTCATAAGTGGCTCAGCTCCGATAAACTTCTGAATGGCTTCAACTTGAGCCCTTGGTCCAGCGATAAGAGAAGTGCCAGTGTCAGCAATAGCTTGGCAACCATTAGAGCATGCGATTGATGAGGAGCCACCTTGGACCTGATACGCAGAAACCGTTATTAAAGGACTTGTGGACTGCGCGTAGATACCGAGTCCATTTTGAATTGCCAGTATCCACGGCGGGTTACAGAGGTCCATGTGATTGGTTCAACATATCGGCGAGTATCCATTCCTCCAAGGGTGATTTCGCCTCCAAGTTCTGATTCGGGATTTCTAAAGACGAACAGTTTACTCAACTTTTATGGAAGTCCAAAGTTGAATGTACCTGTTCAGCCAGAATGCAAAAACTGGGCTAGCTACCTTTTTCTGTTCAACGAAGGTATGGAACACTGGGGTAACTCCTTAAAACATTTCATTTTCAATTCGCTCTCACTTCTGAGTCCCTTTCTTTTCCATTCATCATTTTTTATTTTTCTGTAAAACTTTGCATCGCATGTTTGTGCAACACTATGATGCACGGATGAGACATGTCGGTTGCTCAGAAGATTTTGTTAAACAAACAGTTGACAGAATCCAAGCCCAAAGACCAAGTAAACAATACGATCAAGCAATTTACCAAGAACAGCGATTTCTGGGAAGGCCATGCCAAGAATTCCATCAAACTTCGCTGCAATAAAAGTAAGGCCTGGTTCACTTGTTGCCTCAGCAAACGGCTGTTCAGAAGCACAGATTCCGGCAATCTGAAGCAGCACGAGCTTAGGTTCTTGCGCCGATGACATGATACCTAGCATTACTTACGCAGACATTGTCCTTAGAAATGAAACCTTTCATTGAACCGGTTCCGTACTGAATGGCCATCTTTCGTCCGTCTTCTTTGTAGGTGGAAGATGCGCCAGAGTCGTAGCGGTGATGAAGCACTAGAAACATCATGGATAATGAAAATTAGTCACCACAAGTAAAAAATTTCCTCATCTTTCTTATAATGCAAATCTGTTTGTTCTGTTTCATGAGTTTGAGTTTAGCTTCATTTTGATGAACGTGTGATTCTTTGTGCATAAATCTGCACTGTGTTGTGCAAAAAAATGGCAAGAATTATTTTTTAACAAAAATATAAATTTCGGTGAATTTACAGCTCAATGGATAGAGATAAAGATCTGGATTTTCATCGTGAAGATTTGCTGAAGATAGTTGAGCGATTACCAAGTATGTCTTGACAAAAGAAAATTTTTTTCAAATTTGTGAGTATCTAGCTCGATAAACATTCGCAATCAAAAGTCCATCGAAGATTACTCGTGCTGTTTTCAATATTTTAGTCACAAACATCGTGAACAGAGATGCATCTAGACATCCAAAAAAAAAGAGATTTTCAAATTCTACAACATTCATACCAGCAAATGCTACATAATAGCGTCAACAATTCTGTGAAAATTATGTTTCATATGATTTAGTTTAATAAGGTCTATGGAGGCATCACTAACAGAACGATTTGAAGTATGTTTTTTATTCTGTTCTCTTTTCTAGGTTTGAGTCTGGCAGTCTAGAATACGATTTTTGTAGGTAGATGTAAACTATGTATGCTGCGCAGAGCAATAGCGAATCAATTTTGACGATGTTGTATACTCAGGAATTTGCCTATTAACATACGTAGAGATTATTTTATCATATTTCGTTTCCATACCAGCAACTACTTTGAAGTGTTAGAATTCTGTAAAGATAAAAATACGTCTTTTAATTATCTATCGAGGCATCACTTCCTATATAACTTAAGGTATGACTGCTTTTGTTATGGTCATTTTTATCTAAACAAAATAGATCTTGATTCTGGATTTGTGTTGTGGAAACTGCTTTATTCTGGTCGTTTTTTTTCCAAACAAAACTAATTGTCTCTCTGATACAGTCGTTTTTCTCTGAAAGGGCATAACCTCAACACATTGTTTGCTGTAAAACTATTCGGGCTGTCCACGAATTCTTAATGGTTCAATGTTCACTGGTCATTATCGCTTTACCTCATACTGTACTTCTCTTATCGTTATCTTTTGCATTGACCCCCTGATAAAACGAACAATTTGTTGACCTGCAGACATTGCAAAAACGATTGCAATCGATCTCGGTTGTGAAAAACTTACTACAGGCAATGTCATAGAAGGGGCATTTTCTTGATGGTACCCAGAGATTGGATGAGCCTGTATCGAAAATCACAGTGAAGTTCTGAGCGGGAGTTCCAATTTGAATGACGCCATAGTACTGTGCCTAAAAAAAGAGAAAATTTTAGAAATTATAGGAGAAGCAAAGAAATGAACTGTACTCACATCCATGTAATTTCGTAGCAGTTCATCGATCTCATTTGTTGATTGTAATTTTGACGCTTTATTAGCTGCATATTTTGCAAGAAGTTTTTTCTGATAATGGTAGCGTTGTTTCTGATAATCTTCCCAACTTCCAGCGCTCAACAATCGTTCACGAAGTGTTGGTTGACGCGAGAGCGATACTCTGACAATGACTCATCTATTTTCAAAGTAAACGAATTGTGAAACATTGTTGGTCATGCAATTGGTCTGTTAAATCGGTTGTTCCTGGGAAGACTGGGGGGGGGGGAGGGGGGAAGAGGTTCTCGTGCTTAAAACTAGCAGGTGTCTTTGGCCGATAGCATATGTTCGTGTTTACTGCTAGGGAGGGTAGAACAGCTTTGAGAGTTTTGGGACGATTATACGAAAATTGCAAGAAAGCGCGGCCTGACTTGATTTTCATCTAGATTTCTGCCACAATTTAAGGCGCGAAAATCGGATTTTTGAAGAAAGGCTAAGTAAATATTGATAACTTACGACATTACATGATGATGTGGTTGATGATAAGGCCTTCGGTAGATGCTAGCCACAGCTAGAGTACATAGCGCGAGTAACAGTACGAGGCGAACCATCTCTCCCAGACGTGGCACCGCGGACTATCGCGGTCTCTTTCTCGAAGTCAGCCCTCCCTCCGTTCGCGCCCCGCCCCTCACAACATTTAGCGATGGTCCTCTGAGCATTGATTGAGTTAAAAACAATATCAGCTGTGCTGAGACGACTTTTTGCTTTTCGATCATCATGAACAGACTGCAGCAGCAAAGTGGAGATAAATGGATGGCGGATGTGAAGATCGCGAGTTGCACTTGCTTCATTTTGTTAACATGAAAAGGACCAGTCAACTTTATGTCTAGTAGTCTTAAGTCTTTTCAAAAAAAACTAGTTTGAGTGGAAACTGAGTGTCTATCGCTGTAGGTTATTTTCAAAACCATGACTACGGTGACTGTGGTCTTTGCGCCCACAGGACCATAAAGCGCATACAAAAAGGCATCACTTCAACGCTTAGCAGTCACTTTCATTTTTTGAACACTATCATACATTAGTAGAAAAACCATTAAAATAGTGATAAAAACCATGAAAAATGTGATTGTCGGAGGTGTGGAGGTGTCGCGCGCGGTCGCGTCATCGTCACAATTTTTCGAATGCTCTATAGTTTGGGTGGGGTTTAGGGGTTATCATTGGGGTTTAGAGCTTAACTGGGGCTAATTTAATCGGAGAAAAGGTACAGATCTCTGTGGTTCTGGGGCGAGTCGGATACCCACCGGGGGGGGGGGGGGAGAGAGAGAGAAGACCCGTAGCCTCCTTGAACGTCCCGCGGAACCCCGAAACCGACTCTCTGGGTTGAAACCATGAACATATCTGATCTCAGTACACACCAATAAAAAATCGTTATAATTCAAGAAGGACTCCAGAACGAGTCTTACAAGTGACGTATGTGGTGGTTAGGGTTTTAGATCATTTCATTGAGATAAGATTCAATCTGAAAACAAGTAATTTTGTTTGAATGTCAAGACGACTGGTTAATACGTTCTTGTCTAGACGTTTTCATTCTTTTTAAATTTTCATTATAGCGCCATTTGGCTGATTTCCATTCGTGTACATGACATTCCGTCAGAGATAGTTGCAAACAAAATGTTGCACTTAGTCAGTTGTTGGAAGCAGTTAAATGTTATCAAATATTATACTTTGTTCTTATCTGGACCCAAAAAACTTTATCGTTTATTCTACAATGATATTTTGTGTCACTGTCATATGAAGATGAGATTGACACCTTCCAGCAGCAGCGATGCGCTGATATGGCGTTGATATTCGCAGAAAAACTTGGGGACTTAACAAGTGCAAAAACGTCGAGTAGGGAATAATATAGGTTGTTTTGTGGCAATTTTTGACATCCCATTGTTTTTGCTCTTGGATTTCGTATCAAAAATTATGTCCTATGGCAATGACCGTGTAGGTAAGGTTTTGTTTAAAAAAAATAATGTTTTTGCGTCTTACATTCTTACTTCGCTTGTTTTGCAAAATTTACAAGGCTAGCCTAGTCTAGAAAAGTCTGAGAAGTTAAGCTGCCAAACGGATCTATGCAAATTTCTTTTTTTATTGGCCTAGCCGAGCGCAAGAAGGAATGTGCAGTGCTTGGAACATCACACAAGAAGCTTCGGAAACAAGCAAATTCTTTGAAATCACTAGAATATGTGGACATCAACGGTCAAACTTTTTTAATGAAAGTGGCGTTGCAATAACGAGTTTTGAGAAATCAGCGTCAATAGGGAAAGTCAAGCAAATTTTCAAATGATACAAGATAAATTTCCTAACGAAATTGGCGTTGCAATAACAAGTTTTAAGAAATCAGCGTCAATAGGAAAAGAAATTGGGTTGTTTCAAAAGCTTAGTGAAATAACCCTCAAACCTCGTACAGTAAAGATAAACAAACATCTCAAGCTGATGCAGAATTTCTTCCTTGTTCCAGCTGCCATATCCACAATGTGGTTCATTGAGAGAATGCTGAGATAACCGCTGGACATTACAACCCTTCGTTCTCACCATGTCTGATCTCGCTTTTTTTTGTTTAAACTTTTGGGGGAGCTTTGATGGCCGAGACAGATAGTAATTAAATTTTATATTTGGCCTGTTCTAACCTCGTAGACCATGATATGGTAAACAGTTCAGGCATCATTTGATGCATCATCTTCTTTTTTCAATTGTCCTTCCGGCGAGACACACCAAATTTGCTGGTAAAATCGCAGTTTTTCTCAATTTGACGAGGCGCATTGACGTGCCCTAAGCTCAACATCTTCATACGTTGAAGAGAAAATTGCACATTTACTTTGCAAGGTTGCTAATAACAATAAGCGAGTATTGCAATCCAGTATTTTGAAGATTTTGCAGTATTTGGTGCAATAGCAGGTTAGTCGATTTTTCCACTCAAGACTTTTGGGAAATTCTTTATCGAAAGCGAAAGCAAGTACTGGCAAAACTGTGAAAGAGTAGCTGAAAGAATTTAAAAACTGCTTCAGTTGGCAAAAGCCTTGCTTCACCTGCTGGCTATTACAGCTCTCCCAAAATTCTCAAATAAAGCTTCTAGAAATTGGCGAACTGGACTTGATGAAAACAAAGGGTTATAATTTCATTATCTCAACATTTCTAACGAATCACATTGGGAATATAGCAGCTGGACAGCTGGAGAAAAGGATTCTGCATCGGATACAGTTTGAGGATTTTGTTTGTATTCTACCGTAGCCTGTAGCTTCAAAAACTAACAAAACTTTTGCACCAACCTAATATATTCACTCGCTGTAACATGCCAACAACGTTTCCTAGAGAAGATTGCACTTACAAATCACAAAAAAATGTGTTACGCTGTACTTTAACACTAGAGTTTGCGCTTCCTTGTCAATGTCTTCGCTGCTGCCAAGTGCCAAGTAGGACGTGATTCGGCGCCGCTGCAATTCCCGTATGTTTTGAATCGGCCTCTTCTTGCGCTTGATCACATTCATTGATTCGATATTCTTACAGCTAATTCCTATGCCTACTCCCTTGATTCGTGTCCTTTTCCTTGTGGTTCGTAACTGGATTATTATCACTCCACTTCATTATCGCTTCGCTTTTTCATTCTTCTTGTGCACTGTTGCTACATACTTTGTTGGTTCTCCTCGATAGTTCATTAAGAACATGGTGTACTTGGTATATTTTTGATGATGGTCCAAGTTCCAATATTCGTCCTACTTGTCTGCCGTGCAAATCATTCATTTCATAAAGTTAAAGTGATGGGCAATATGACGGCCGAAGCGTTCTTTAACGCGTTACAAGATTCTCTGCAAGATCAGTCATACCTGGGATAATGCGCCGACGTTCTGTTAGGCTAGCAAATGTTTCGTTAACTACAGAAAACATGGTACAAAGCATCGAATTTGAGATCGAATATCAGCAGCAAGAAATTGATTGGGACCATATTACACTTATGCACCGTGGCAGGACGGGTTCTACGAGAGGCTGGTGCTCTCCACGGGAAAAATTTGCTGTGCGAGACGCTCGCAACAGGCAGCATTGTTCTCAATGAAGAAAAATGAAATGATGCACAAGCTCATGAACGTCTTGGCGGCGTTTTCAAAACATGGCCGGTTGCGCACCTTACACTGCACTGAGATGTAAAATGGTGTTAGACACTGAGCGCAACAGGCTTATAAATGCATAAATTAATGGCAGATAATAACATCAAGGCACAGATAACACATGTACAAAGCAGCCCTTTATGTTGAGGCTGGCGGACACTGTAGCGACTTTGGTATTTCAATGATTATGCTACTATCGCTTGAACCCTTTCATATCCTTACTCAAGATCGAACCTACATTTTGGGGACGAAATAAGGTATTCTCCTAGATTGCACAGTTTTGCACATCGCTACTCGACAAGTACGTGAATCTTTTGATCTTTTTAAAGACGTGGAAGAACTACGTGAGGAAAGGGAGCAAGCCGAAAACGTTTGAAGCAAGTAAACAAACCAAAGGGGAAACGATGAAGTAATGAAAGATCGCTGGAGAAAGAATCTCACATGCCACCTTGGGGCATTCGACAAGCCCGAAGGACTGACAGACCGCAGAGTTTGAAGCCTGGAAAGACAAAGTTGAACGGGTATCATCGAGATAGAACAAGATCTCTCTTGCAAAAAATCGAACAAGTGAACCTTTGTGTTAAAGGGGTCAAGTGTGCTTTTTTGCAATAAAACAAGTCCATTTTTCCGATTTTGTCCCAGATATGTAGATGGAGACGAAAAATGGGAGATCATCCAACGAAAAGACTTTGCCGCTTTTGCCTGGAGGATTGTCCTCGAAAACGGTTACTCAACAAAAGAATGTTGGCATTGTAAGCGCTGGACATGGACTGCCTTCGATAAGCTCATTCCTCGCGAGGCGGTCACCACCGTGCTCTCTGCAACGTCCCGACATGAAGACACGGACAAAGCGGGGGTTCTCGACGCCAAACGAGCACAAAAAGATGGCAGTAGCGGCGGCAGGGAGTGCTTGTGCTTAACTCATAATATAGTTATTTGATCACTTAATTTGTATCTAATTATATGTCTTACTCCATCATTTATCTGGTATCCAATAGTTTCGTAAGGTTAAGGTAACTGTGATATATGTACTTGTTCGTTCAGATATTTGTAAAGTTGAAATATTTGTGGGATATTTCTCATCCAGTGATCTAAGTTAAGATATTTGCGATGTACTTTGTGCCTTCACTGATTTTGTATAGTCTTCAAATTTAGCTCAGCTGATCGCTTTCATCTATTTATTCACTTCCCAAGAGAAACGACGTGAAAAGATTACTTTTATCAGATATCAGCTCATATACACTTAGTTCGCCGCAAGGTCATGCTTCCAATGCAAGTAACTTCGAACTCGATCAATTTTCTCAAGTTTGCCCCCACTTCCAAGTACTCTTCCACGGCGAGTGAGCAGCTGTACATATAGACTTGAGAGATTTTTGGAGAAAAAACAATATTGTGGTGTTGTCTTCAACGCAAATTACCAGTCCGCGTGGCATAATCAAGTTCAAACACAGCTCACCCGAAGTAGGCTTTCTACATGTTTGATTATGTGAATAAAATATTTTCAGCGTATTGTGCCTTTGTTAGTAAATAGTTATACTCGAGAGACAAGAATGCTAAAGAAATCG